AAGAAGAACCACGCCCTCCCCCGCTCGTACACATCCGGCACCCCCGCTCGGCTCGCCCTCATCCATCCCCAACCCCTAATGACGCAAGCAAAGCAAAACAAAGAAAGGTTTATACACCCGGGGGAGGCACTCTCCCTCTCCCCCGCGTCTCTTTCCTACTCCGGTTCGTTCTCTTCGTCGGCGGCACCACGGTTCTCGTCCTCGCTCTTTCGATTCGTCCCTCGTTTCCTCTCTCTTCCACCGTCTCTCTGCTTATCTCTCTCTCTCTCTCTCTCTCTCTCTCTCTCTCTCTCTCTCTCTCTATCTCGGAAGCCCCCGCACCCGCTCGCTTACTCTTTCCTGGTTCTCGCGAGACCCTCGCTCTCGTTCTGGCTCGCGTGCGCGCAAATGAAATCGATTAAAATGCTGGGCGCAACTTCTAGGCAGAGGCTGAAGCGAGCTTCCAAGTGTAGTAACCACCCTCCTCATCGCCCCCGCCCCGCTTCTCTCGTTCGCGCTGTAAGAAACCGAGAAAACCCTTACGTGCGTTCTCCCCCGTTTCTCCTAACCACCCCTGCCGGTTTGCCTCTCTCTTTCTCTCTTTCTCTCTCTCTGTCTCTCTCACTTCCTCGTTCCAGCCGGAGTCTACGCGTAATCACCACCCCCGCGAAGGGACGATGTTAACCGAGATACGTACAGTAACCGCGTATGCGCTCCTCGAATGAAGTATGTATTTAGAAGCACGTCCCGTTTTGGTATCCAAGCTTCGATACGCCGATTAAGTATCTTATTATTCATACTACGATCGCAACAATTTTCTCGGAAATCTTTTTTAAATCACGTATCAATAATCGTTGTTTGTTTGCTCGAGTCCAGAAATAAGTACACCGCTGTCAGTCTACGTAAATTCGGATGAAATCTTACGTTTCAATCGTGATTTAATATAAACGTTTACGTTTAAAAATTAAAATCGCGGAGTCGCTTCGGTTTACTCGTATGTACACACCTTCAGCCTCGCCTAGAGTCTACGTTTTCGTTTCGCTACGTTCTCCAGTTCCGCGCACCGATATACACGTACACCCGGGTGAATGCAACGATTCCGTACGCGTTCTCGAGGGCGAGACCGTGCGTCGGAGCGTGTGTGCGCGGCGCTCGTCGACCCCACCGCGTCGAGGTTGTGTTAGTTTTTCAAGAGTAAATGAGTAGAGAATGCGGCAGTAGTCGCACGGCGCGGCACGGCGCGGCGCGGTGGCCGGGCAGGTTGCTAAAAACAGTGCCACTCTTTGCCTGCCCCTCTCCACGGTCCTACGTTCCTTATTCAACCCCCGGATGTTTCTCTCTGTCTCTCTCTCTACCGCGCATTGCCTTCTCTCGTTTTTCTTACCTTTCCCGATATTCTCCACCGTTACCGTTAGTAGCCTGCGCGCGAGATTCTTAAATCCCTGTCGGAGAGCGTCCGCAGTCTTTCCGCGCGAGCATCGATGCCTGGAAGGGTTGACAGTTTTTTAATTCTAACAGTGCCAAGCAGATCTGTACGCATCTAATATCGCAATTATCGATTCTACATGATCGCGGATTAATTATTATTAAATGACAATTATTTATTATTAAATGACGATTGTATCCTCGATATGTCGATCCCGACAACGCGACCATCGTCTCTCTGCTTTCACGAGAAAATCATTTGAATACGACGCACGAAATAAGAACAAGCTAAGGGGGTTTGAAAGATTATCCATTCGCCTGCTCTTACTCACTTTAAACGCGCGTGGATATACACGCGCGCGCGGGCGCGCGAGGTCGAAGGGAAACTGTCTAAAAGACAGAACGACGAAGGAAATAAGACAGCCAGATGAGAGAGTGGGGTGCGAGGGAGGCTGAAAGGCGAAGCGAGGGGCGGCCGGCTGATGGAAGACGGGAGGGCGGAAAGAAGAGGGCGAAACGAGGGAAAGAAAGGGACGGAGTGGATAGGGTAGCTAAGACGACCGGCTCTCTCCCAAGTAATTATAAAATGCAATCAATACTTTACATATTTTTCACGCAACTCGCAGGGGTTCGAGGGCCTGCGTTGCTTTTCCCCTCGTGACTTTTTCGTATATGCCTCCGCGTTCTCCGGCGCGTACGCGTTTCTTTTCACGAACGTGGAACGCGTGGGTAGAAATAATTATGGGTCGACAGGAGTTTTCCTTTCATTCGTCGGACGACTTTGTTTTCGACGAAAGAGGTTGCGATTCGAATAGGTGTAGACAATGCCGAGGAGAGTGCACGCAAAAAAGTATCGGCGCGTAGCCGCGTATACGACGCCGCATTGCTTTTTACAAAACACCCTTTTAGTTTTTACATTTTGCTCGTGTTTCCTGGGTTTGGTTTTTTTCCCGTACATACATTTGCTCGCTTACATTTTTCGTTTCGTGATCTCGACACCTACCACGTATCACTATCAATAATTAAACATTTTATTTGATAATCCATTCGTGTGATTTTGGCGGCTGATCGAAGCTTTTACGCGGGGCGAGAGTATGTCCCGCACTTTCTCTTTCTCTCTCTCTCTCTCTCTAATTCGGTCACGATAAAACTTTGAACTCCCTGCCCGGCCATCCGAAAACTTTCACCTTCCCCAACACTATCGTTCTTGTACTCGTCACGAGTTCGCCTCTTCGATGCCAACGACCAAACGGAATCACCGTTTGCCAGCTTGTTAGAAAGAAAATTCACGAGCACTCGCTCGCGATGCGGTACGGGCCAAGGAATGGCCGCGTAATTAAAAATGGACGGTTGTCAATTAAATAATTTGTGGAACGTCGGTAAAATTTTTAGAGAGGGCCAGCCTAAGACGACACAAAGCTCGGCGCGATGTAAGATACCGAACGATAAGGGTGGCGAACGCGTCGTTGGAAGAGGGGTGGAACGGGGATAACGAACAATGGAAAGGTAGTCTTGGCAGACAATGGCTCGTGTGGAACAAACGCATCTCGCTGTGTTTCTTATCCTCTCCGATCCCATCCCACCCCGTTCCATCCCCGAACCCTCGTCCGTCTCCCTCGCCACTACTCCACATATACTTATGTTTTTAAGCCTCGAAAGCCTCCTATTGCTTCCGACGCGACGCGACGTCCCGCACAGAAACGGGGAAAACAATAGGCGCTGGACAGGAAACCACCCGTGGCTACGTCTCATCGTTTTCTCGAAAAGACCGTGTGCGTGGCAAAGTTTACCAGATCGGACGCGATACAGGGTGGCTCGGCGAGAGACTCGCGTCGATATCGTTTAAGAATTTCTTGCGAACCATTTTTCTGGTCGGCGAGACAGATTTTACAGCGTGAGTTCCTCGGATGGAACGCGCGTAATTCTCGTACTGTACGCTCGGCGCGTTAAATTTGAAACGCGTTTAACCCAACCTCGTACCCTGGTTTGCTACTTTGCGAAGGAACAAACGCGAGGACAAACATGAGTGAGTGGTCAGGCGAAAGAGGAACCGCACAAAAGATGTATCCAAATCGCGTTTGTTTAACATCAAAACTTACGCAGAGAAAACGCTTTCTCTTTCTTTCTCTCTCTATTCTTCTGTCCTCCTGTCTCTGTCTCTCTAGTTATCGTTGTACACCGGACCCCGCTATAATAATAATTAAAGCACACAATCATAGTAATGGCCGCCCCCGGTGGCTAGACGTCGCACCGTCGTCGTTGAAGAGTCGTCGGGCCGACGATCGCCGAGAAAGAGAGGCGGACAGACTAGCCGAATGCCGAAGAAAGAGGGAACGGGATGGAGCGCTACCTGGAAATATTCTAATAAGCAAAATTTTCGCTTTTGCGTTTAAGAATAGAGTAGGAACAGAGAAAGGAGGACACCGTGTGCTCCGAGGGCTTGAAACTCGTCTGTTCTTAGCGAGGAATGATGCGGGGGAGGTGGTAGGGCGCGGGGTGCCGTTTCAACGAAACCAGAAAAATTCTAATAATCGATCCGGTTTCGAATTTAACGATCGTGCATAATTCGTTCAGTGACGGACTCACGGTAAAAGCTTGTTCGATGTCAGAAATCGCGACTTCACGCGTGTCCTCGTCTGGACTGTCCGCGAACGTCGTCGGTCCATTTGCACAGGCAGCGTTAATTGATGTATACATATACGATGATTTGTATCGGCAAGTTTCCGTTCGTCCTCCCGGGCTTCCGTATGCGAAGGTCCGACGAACGAAGGAGCAGAGAAAGAGGAAGAGGAAGCGAGCGAAAAAGACGGACCGCGGGGTCCGGGGGTTGGGGTTGGTCGCATTGTCTCAGAGCCGGGGTGGTTGCTCGCGGAATCGAGGGGACAAGCTTCGCGAGCGTAGGCAAGGGGCCGGGGAGGGAAGCGAGAAGGGGGTTGGGACCTACCCTGCCGAGGGATGGAAGGTTAGGCGGCCGAAGGAACGAAGCGGGCGGAAGAAAGAGAAAAGAAGACGCGGGTGGCGAGAAGGGGGTAAGACGCTGCACGAAGGGTTGGAAATGTAGATAGAATTTCTTCATTTCGCGTCCTACGGCCAACCCCACACCCCGGCCGCCACCCGCCTCGTCTTATCCTTCGTCGACCGCCACCGCGATCTCCACCGTCCTTCCCCACACCCTCGCGCCCACCCCGACCTCTCATCTCTTTCCGACCTTCTTCTTCGCCTTTTCCTCCCTTTTCTCTTCTTTCCGCGGCTCCTCGCCCTTCCTCCGCCTGCCGGCTCTCCTCCCGCTGCTCGACACCCTCGCCTCCTCGGCAGTCCCCCGACCCTCCCCTCTCATTTCACCCCACCCCCGCCATTCTTTCTCTTAAGACTCCGCGGCAGAGGAATCGTTAAAATCTGGCCGTACCCTCGGTACCCGCTCTTTCTCCCTCTCGCTCTCTTCCGCTCACTCTACCCACCGACCCTCCGTCTCGCTCTTTCTCGCCCGCCTTTTCTCCGATCTTTCCTCGTTCCACGTAGCCTGCCGCCGGAGTCACCCTCTTCCACCCCCTCGCGCTCAGTCACCAACCCTTGAATGCCGCTCGCTCGCTACTTACTTTTGCGGGGGACGGGGCTGGCTCGGAAAGGGTGTACCGGTGGGTGGCTGCTGCGAAGACCGTTGGGTCTCTCTCCTGTTCCGTGGATAACGTTCCGGTATTAATCGGATGGCGAGAGGGTTGCCCTGCGGAGAACGACAGGGCTTCATAGGAACTTTCGCTATTTTTTTCACTGATCGATAATTAGCAATCGGTATCATCGATTGACGTATGGGTATGAACACTGGGACATAGTCGAGAATTAACGCACTCTACTAAATCGCAGCGAATCGAACGTCCCATCGAAAACTTCTCGTCAACAATAATAGTCGCAAATAATTTTTTACGAATATACATGATTGTGTCGCATGCTAATTTCGTCGTAATCGCGCACGGTAGTGTGGAAAATTATCGACGCTTGCCGTTCGATGCATGGCTAGGACGCGCGGAGCAACGTCGGATCTCTCGGCGAAAGTTCGTAAAGATTTAGGGTCAAAGATCACCGCGACGACGTCTGCTCTTCCTCTCTCCTCGAAACAAGCCCCGTTCCCCCTTGGGGTAGCGGAGCACGAGGAGCGTTTTCGAGCGACGCTCAAGGGTTATTGTTTCGGGTACCGCGAATTTACATTATTTCCTCCGGACCGGCCACATTGTTCCCTCATTTTTTTATTCCTATTTTTCAACGTCGCGTTTCTCAGTCGCGGGCATAATTTATACGAGCGTAATTACCGACGTGTACCGACGTTTTTCATAATTAAAAATCACTCGGCATATTTCCTCCACCCAGTCCCCGTCCGCTATTTCCTTAGTCGTGTTCTCTCGCATGTACGTGCGTTAAGATTCATCGTCGACCAACGTTTCGCAATAGCGCAACGATGCGTATGTGCCAAATCGTGGAACGAGGTAAAAGTAACCGTTCGTTCTCGCGCTCGTTTCGTTCTTACGCTATGACGCGAAACTGGCTCGTTGGTAATCGATGTCGAGCAAAATAATTAAAACTTGAAACGTTAATGTTTCGATTCCAGGCTGAGTTCGAGTGCTACCGCGACTTTGAATCATCGTCACTCGTTCGATCGTTTGAACAACTCGACTAACGCCACGCGTAAATTCGAAGACCGATTTTCGACCACGCGTCACCGAACGCTTAAAAAGATATAAGAACAACAAAAAAGAAAGGGAAAGCGGGGGTTCCGGGGTGGCGCGAGAAAGAAGGAGCCACGAGTTCGGGGGGAGGGGTATCTCGGAGCCGCGTAAGAAGAGTGGTCGGACGGGGGTGGGGGTGGGCTACGAAATGAGGGTTCCTGAGTTTTTGCCAGGCGATCAATAAAAGTCTCTGTGCTCTCCTCTTATACTTGTCGTATAACGAAGTAGTAGGCTGCTGGCTGCCGTCGACTCGACTGGTAAAAGGGGGTTCGGGGGTGCGTGGCCCGGTGCGTGCATTAATTCCACCTCCGCCACCTTCTCCAGGCTCGCCCCCGTCCTCGCCGTCCCCGCTCTCTTACTCTTATAAACCCTGCCGCATCTTCGTCCGACGCTCACCCGGAAGAGTCGCCCTCTCGCTCGCTCGCGCCCGTTTCTCTTCGCGAACCCCTTCAAACCCCTGCCCCCGCCTGCCCGGCTCTTCGCCCTCGTTTCCTCTCTTCTTCGCCGCGTTTCTTCCTGCCTCGACTCATCAACGCTCGTGGCGCCTACGAGAGCCACGCAGCCGGATACGAAGGGTACCGCGGGGGGGGTTGGAGAGGAGCACCCGGGTATCTTCTCCTCCTCGCTCTACTCGTACGCGCGGACGACGCGTTTTAAGAAAACCTGACGCTTTCTTTATTCTTCGACGGAACACCATCGGTCTTCCTCGTCCCGCGACGTATCGTTTCGTCGTTCGTCACCCGCTGGGTGAAGCACGGATGAACTAGACCTATACTTCGAACGTAAGCTGTGCACGTTTTTGTACCTTCCGAACGTAGGCACATCCGGTCCGTGACAAAAGTATGACTTAGACAGGACAAGAAAAGAGAACCTCTACTTTTGTTTCCTGGTACACAGGGAAGACGTGTATGCGGCACGTCTGCACCCTCGAGTGCGGCAGTAAGTCTTCGCGTTCGAACAGGTCCATTTGTACCTGAAAATGCACCTGACCATCCGCGGTCACGAACACCTCCGTCACCGTGCGCAACACACTCGTCTCGGACATTTCTAGAAAGATGCCATTGTCCAGGGTATTTTGGATCAGGCCCCGTAAATCAGTCTTAATCCCTGTCGGTGAAGGAGCTTTTCCCCGGCGAAAGCTAAATTACACCCGAGAACGCGTAGGATCGTTGAAACAAGAATCGATACACCTGAAGCTTCGGTCATAATTCCAAAACAAACGTACAGTGTCACAAATGTAATTAGCGTGGAATATGTTCAAAATCTCGCAAACACGAGATCTGCGTCTTTTGGGACCCTGTTTAAGCACTGATTTCGACTATTTATTTAATTTTTTTACGTCCGAGACACGTTCGACGCTCGCAACGGAAGGGCTAGGAGAAAAAAAACTCGGGGGCCATAGAAAAAAGGAAAAGCTTCGTGATGCGGCGAAGTAACGGGAACCGTGTTTCTCGTGTTCGGGACAACGCGGAGGAAGGATCGGTAGGAGGAGGGTTTGAGCCGGAGGCAGAGATTGCGAAAAAAGGGGCGAGAAGAGAGGAAGAAATCGGATATCGTCTTAACGCGTCGAGGGCGTTAAGGGTGGCTTTCGCGTGTCCGAGGGAATTTCTAAACACCCGGCAAACGTGTCTCTTCTGCTACTCACCCCTAAACCCTTGTACATTTCGGTCACTGGTAACTTCGATCGAACCGATATTCGTCGTCTCGGGTCTTTGAATATTTGTGACTGTGTTTACTTTCCTATTCGACTTAGATAGCAATTCTTTGCTTCATAAACGAAAATTACTACCAACAAATTATCTTATAATTATTTGCAAATTAAATATTCTGAAGTGACGTTCGATGATTCGAAAGTGAAATAAATAATTAAAAATTCGTAGCACGATAATTAAAATTCGACCGGCTGAAGATACGAATTGGAATTCGAAATGGGATTCGAACAGAGACGACGACTCGTAGAAAAAGCATTTATAAACCTTATAGAATTAAGGGGAAGGAATTAGAAGGGCGAAGGAGGAAGCGTAGGGAAATCGGTCCGTCCGCGGACAGAGGTGGGAGCAGGACAAAACGCAACCTTCCGTCGGGGAGCCTTCCGGGGGTGGAAATAGGGGTTGTCCTCACACGTAGCCCCGTCGTCGACGTCGACGTCGCCGCCGCTGTCGTCGACGCTTTCTTAATCATCATCTGTCTATCTCTCGGCATTAGTCTAGCTAGAGAAAGAAAAGAACCTGAGGAAGGATCTCAGCTAACGAAGAAGAAGAAGAAGAAGAAGAAGAAGAGGCTGAAGAAGCTGAACGACAGAGCGGGAGAGAAAATGAGCGAGACGGAGAGAAAAGAGACAGGGGGTACAAGGAGGTAAGGAAACGGTCGAAAGGAGACAAAAGGGTGAAAGAGGAGAGAAGCGGAGAGAGGCGGGGGAAAACGCGTGTGCACCGGGCGAAAGAACGGAAAGGTGGAAAGAGTCCGGGGAACGACGAACCCGGTGTGAATAAAGACGAGAGAGAGAGAGACAAGGGGAGCGGGAGAGAAAAACAGAGACGAGAGGAACCAAATGAGAGGGAGATGAGGAGCGGGAGGACGAGGAGGTAAAGGGGGAGAGGGACGCTTCTTACTCCGCCCAGCATCCAAGATGGCGTTGCCGGCAGCGGCGTTGGAGGCAGTCTCTCTCTCCCTCGTCATTAAAATCAATAATTAAAAAATACATCCGTGGGCACCTTCGCTTTTCTAGCGCCTCGTGACGCGTGCTCGGTCGGTCCGACTCCGAACCAACTACCCGTCCAACCTCCCCGCAACCCCGCGAACGCCAACCCCCACCAGCCCCTGTCGCTCCACCGTTCGCCTCGTTTATATCTATGTCGTACACCGGCGGTCTTGGCGATCCCGAGGACTCGAAAACAGGTGCACGCGCGACGATTATGTCTGCTAATTTTTTTTACCCATCGTTCGAACGATGCCTCGTTCCGAATTGCCTAGAACGATCCAGGCGAACTCCTACGTACCTATAAGTTTCTCCGCGATAAATGCACGATCGTTTGTTTTACAAACATCGCGCGAATCGTTATAAACCACCCGTCGATGTTACGAATCTCCTTGATTTACCTACCGAATTGAGCTACGACCCGCCGTTTCCTTCTCTTCTTCGCGGGTTTTCTCGTTCTGGGGTCGAAGCACAAAGGGGTTGAAGGGCGAGCGGGGTTGTACCCGTGGTACCAGGCTGCGAGTCCCTCGAACAAGGACACGAGGACTAGCGGATGGGTACTACTTCTTAAACTACCCCTCGCCAATTCTTCAGGACGTAAGGGTTGCACCCTCTCGTATCGATGTACCTCGAGGCATGCCAAATGCCCCCCTTTTTTTTACCGAGAATCCACCTGTACGCTGCACCGAATTAAATACGGGCTAATTCTTCAAGAATCTCTCGTTCGTGCAATAGAGAAAATTCTAATTAAACGCAATTTATTTTAACGCCGATAGCGAAAAATCTAATTAAACATTATTCTCGATTCGAACCAGTCGAACTTTCGTGTAAAATCGATTCGACTTGGTATAAATTGTTGCACGATTTCGCCCCTGGACTCGTTCCATCATTGCGATCGTTGGATATAGCCATGCATAGAATATTAATTACTCTCAACTAATTGCGATTTCGAGGAGCGACAGACAGAAATATGATCTTTAGACGTACGCTACGTATTTGAACCCATTCGTATCATATGACGATCAGAGGACGTCACGTGATTTTTTGTCGCATAAATCATGTGTTGATCTTAAGTATTAGCATTCATCTCATCGAAAATTTATTTAGAAGGCTAAATGAAAGAAAAATAAAATTTTATACGATCTCTTTAAGTATTACTGTGTTTCCAACCATATTGGCAGAAGATTTGAATCTGACTTCTCACTCAGCTGAGTAGATATTTAAATATATCATTCAGTTAAGATTG